GTGCTGAGATTACAGGTGTGTACCACCACACCCAGCTTCTATTAGCTTTTTAAAGATATATTTTAGAGCCAGACATGGCAGTGCACACCTATAATCACAGCACTCAGGAGGCTGAGGCAGTAGGATCACCATGATTTCAGGGCTGACTTGGGCTACCTAGTGAGTTCAAAGACAGACTTGCTGCATAGTGATATCCTGACTCAAAACAAGCAAATAAACAAACATAAAACCACAAATGAAAATATATTTTGGGTTTTGAAAAACATATACAATCCTGTTTATGAACAGAGATGGTTTTATTTTTGCTTTTTAATCATCATCTTCTTAGTTATTATAGTTGTCTTATTGCTTTGTTTGGCTGTTGGTATGATGCTGGAAAGGACAACGTGTGTCTGCCTTACTCTTAGAACAGTCTCATTAATGCAATGTTAGCTGTAGGATGTTTATACATGCTTTTTATCAGCCTGTGGAAGTTGTTTTCTACTACTTTGCTGCAAGTTTTTACAAACTGAGAATAAATATTGAGTTCTGTCACTTTTTTTGTATTTATTGAAATGATGATGTGTTTTCTTATTTATATCATTGATTTGGTAAATATACCAATTACTTTTCAAGAGTAGAACAAGTCCGGCAAAGCCCACTTAGTCATGATGTATGATTGTCTCTGATATTGCTTTACTCCATTTTTGGTGTTTTGCTGTCATTGTTTTCATCTGTGTATCCGTATGGGATATTGGGTCTTTCTACTTCTATGTCTTTGGTTTTGGTTTTAGGGTATTTCTGGCCTCACAAAATTGATTTTGGAGCATTCTTCTGTTCAGAAAGATTTTTGTCAAGTTTGTGTTAGTTTTTTCTTAAACATTTGAGAGAATTTGCCAATGTAGCCATGTTGGCCTGCAGTATTCTTTATTAGAAACTTCAGGGGGCTGGAGAGATGGCTCAGTGGTCTAAAGCACCTACTTGGAACAAGCTTGGCAAAGCACAGGGACCACGGTTCGATCCTCCAGCACCACATGCCAGCCAGCCGCACCCCCTGGTGGGCTGAGCTGGCCACACACACACACACACACACACACACACTAAATAAATGTTAAAAAAAAATTAAAAAAAAAAGAAACTTCAAAACAAAGAAAACACTCTAAGTAATAAATGCAATTTTATTTCCAATTATTTGTTACTTGAGTGAGCTTGCATAATTTGTGTGTTTCAAGGTATTCGTTTATTTTATCTGAGCTGTCCAGTATTGGGCATGGAATTATGATGACGATGACGATGACAATGACGATGATGATGTTGTTGTATGTGTTTGGTACAGAGTCGCACTACAGCTCAGACTCATAGTGATCCTCCTGGTTCAGCCTCCTCAGTGCTGTGACTACAGGTGTGCGCCACCACTCACAGGCCTGTTGGCTGGCCTTAGTGCCCCAGGGGCAGGGCCAGCTCCGAGTGTGGTATCGGGGACTGGAGCGTGGCCTTTGCATTTGCCAGTCAGGCACTTACACAGCTGAGCTATCTTTGTGGTCCTATTTGTAATAATTTGTACATTAATGCTTATAGTACATAGATCACATTTCTTTTTTCAAATTCTTAATATTTATGTGTTCCTTTTTACTCTGTTGATTAATTTAGTTAGAAGATTGCAGCAGTTGTGAAAGGACCCAAACCAGCTTTAGATTCATTGATTTTTTTCTCTATTTCTATTTGCCATTTGAATAATTTCTGCTCTTCAATATTTTATTCTGATTGCTTTACAATAATTTGCTTTTCTCTTTCATAAGGTATAATCTTGGATTACTTAGCAGAAAATTTCCTCTCTTCCAACATAGGTATTTACTGATATAAATTTTCTTTTATGCACATATTGTCTTTATGTAATATACAAACTGCATCTCATAATTTGGCAGGCTATTTTTCATTGAATTCAAATATTTTTAAATTTCTTGTTACTTCTTTGACTTTTGGGTTATTTACAAGTTTGTTGTTTTAAAAATAATTTGGAAATTTGTAGATATATTTATGTTATTTATTTTTAGTTTGATTTTGCCAATGTTAGAAAACAAACTTGTAAGATCTAAATTGCTTTAACATTACTAATGCTTTGTTTTATAACACAGAATTAGTTCTTAGTGTGTATTTCATATGAGGAATGTGCCGTTGACCACTGTTGGGTAGTTTTAGTGGATTGATTGAGTTCAAATATTCTATATTCTTTCTGAATTTATGTTTAATTGTTTTAATGATTAGGGAAAATGAACATTACAATTTCTAACAATATTTTGTTTCTATTTTTATCTTTCGGGTTTGCTTTCCTATTAATGATCTGTTATTAGCTACAGGCATGTTTAAATTTGCTAAGTTTTTCTAATGAGTTTCCTCCTTATTCTGATAATACTCACTTTATTGGAAGTCCACTTTGTCTGTTTATATAGCCATCCAGCTTTCTCAACTTAGTTTAGTGCTGGCTTGACAGACCATAGTCCCATGCTTTTATTTTTAACTCATGCAGACATTTACATCTGCCGTATATTTCTTCCAGACATAATATGCTTGTGTATTGCTTTTCAAAATTAATCTAACAATGTTTGTCTTTAAGTTAATGTATTTTTTGGCATTCTTTGAAACTTTTGATGTTTTTGGATTATTATATCATATATTAATTATTTTTGATTTGTTTTCTAACTCTTTTAGATTTTGTTTTCTTTAATATTGTGTAGTCATTTTTAGGAGAATTCCATTTTTTTCTGCACTATTTTTGTCCTGGGCTTTACTTTTTTTTTTTTTTTTTGGTGCAGATTTACAAATTTTATTTTCTAGTTTTTGAAGTTAGCAACAAAAGTCTTACTGAGAGTGAACATTACAGTAATAAAGACCTTCAGAAATCCTGCCAACTGTGTGAGTTCATGGATTCCAAGGTAGACATGGCCACCTGCTGACTGCAAGAAGGAGGAGAGGTACAGGAGTCCATGCGTTTTCTCGAATCACCTACCCCATGTCCCTTCAATGGCGCCTCAGCCCAGATTCAGGGCAAGAGTCCTAAGGGAAAACTGCACAGGAAGGGCAAAGACAGGCGCTTGTGGACAACCCTGTACCAGCACAGGAAAGCAGACAGTGAGAGCAAAACTTTGGAAGTGCTCCCTCTCCGCTGCTGCAGCCCACTTGCCACAGCCTGCTCATCCCAGTGTCCACGCTAAAGACTTACTTCAGGGCACACCTTGGGCACAGTGTTGGGGGTAACATAGGGCAGCACCAGCTAATACGTACTTAGTTTTATAGAAGGGCTACCTCTTCCCTGGTTTATGTTCTCTACATATAAAGCACTGCTTTGAGGACCAGGAGATAGGTCAGCAGCAAAAGCAACTGCTTGTCAGACACAAGGTCCTGAGTTCAATCCTTGTTACAAAAAAAAAAAAAAAAAAAAAAAAAAAAAAAAAAAAAAAAAAGGAAAAAAAGCAGGGCTTTGAATTTCCCTTCTCATCTGTATGCTTTTGTGCAGAGAGGGAAGAGGTAAAAAGAGGGAGGGTAAAAAATTGGAAGAAAAAATGGTGCTGGGAGGAAAGTTCCTGGCCTTTGGTGGGCATTCCTAACAATTTCGAATGTGAGCCAAGCTCAGGTGAAATTTAGGGCCGAGGGCTGCGCTGAGGCAGATGGGCCTCCATCTTCGAGTTCATCTCCACTACTGGAGTCTGGGGAACTTCTCCCTTCGTCCCCTTCCTGTCTTCCTTCATTGCCCTTTTGGGTCCCTGTGAGTGGAGATAGCTGACAGGCCCTGTCCCAGGGGGACCTATTCCTAGAGCCTCCGGCTCCTTGTCCCTTCCCAGTCCTGGCACATGCTTGGCTGGTGAGGGCTGAGGGGCTGCCTTTGTGAACTTGGCTTTGGGTCTCCTGCTGTGGTCATGATCTTCCCTTTACCATAGCTCTTCTTTTTGTATGCAGCATATTCCTCAGGCAACAGAGGAAAGCCAGAGATCCAGGTCCACTCCATCTTATTTAAGTAGCCCGTCAGCCTGCGTTGTTTAATGTTCTTTCAAGCTTAGGGGCACACGGTGCCAATGCCTGCCAATCTCCACCATGCACTCCTTTGGGGGCAAATGTTTTAGCTCTGTACTTGATGAGCAATCTTCGTGAAATTTGTGATATCCTGCCATAGGGGTTCTTGGGCTGTTGATGAAAATTCACGTTCTTGCAAAATGCGTCCATTTGGGATGGAGACTGCCTCCTTTTCACAGTTCCTTGGGCGTGCTTTGGCGCTTTGGTTTGGCACCTTTCGGAACTGTCAGACTTTTTGGAGCTTTGGACCTGATCTGGGTGGTTTCTCCAGAATGGAGCCAGTTTTTCTTCAAACTACTGTTTCTCTTTCCAGTCTCCCTCGATGTATTTCTTTCTGCTTTATATTCTGTGGGAGCTGGAAGTCTGTTTCAGCTAGGATCTCGGTCAGCTCCTGATTACTCATTCAGGGAACTTTTGGGAGTAGTGGACCCTCTGCTCCTTGTAAAATCCGATATAAGCAGGCAAGGGCCGTTTGGGGAAGTCTGGGTATTTCTTGTATTCCCTGTTTCTATTGTGATTGTTAACAGATTTACTGGCTTCCAGCAATAATTCTGTTAGTGGCTAGAACTTCCCTAACTTGAAACAAATATGTATCCATTTGAGTTTACACATTTCTCCACTGCAACCTTAAAAAGTGATTTTCTCCCAGTTCAGATGTAAGTGGCTTGTTTGGCACATTGGGTTATCACTAGAAAGGAGATTATTCTGCACACTTCTCAGTAACCTTTAGATATCTTGCTTGGACCAATGGCCTTGACTATGAAGTGACACCATCTCAAACTTGTAGCTTTGGACATTTTTTAATGTCTAACTTGTGCAGACACTTCAACAGAAGCTCAACTTCTTCATTCAGTAGGTAATAAACAGATTTCTAAAAGTACTGCCCTCTGTGTGAATCTGTATTTCTGAAGATTCTATCATGGTCATCATCTGTTTCTTGCAAGAAAGTACCTTCAATCAGTGCAGGGGCTCTGTGTCCTCCAGGTTCTCTGGACAGCAGCTGAAGCAAGGTGACAGAAGTGCAGCCAACTCCAGGTCCCTGGTGCAGAAGAGTCCACCATTCCTGGGATGCACTGAGAAGCCAGGTGAGCTGAGTCCACACTGTGGCTGAAGTAGCAGTCCCCGCAGCCAGAATAGAAAGCTTCCTTCAGTTGAGCGTAGTTGCCCACGACTGTAACCCCAGCGCTCAGGAGGCGGAGGCAGGAGGACCACCTTGAATGTGAGATGAGCCTTGGCTCCATGGTGACCTGAAGGCCAGCCTGGCTTAGAGAGCAAGACTTTGTCTGAAAGAAAGAAAGAAAGAAAGAAAGAAAGAAAGAAAGAAAGAAAGAAAGAAAGAAAGAAGAAAGAAAAGAAAGACAGACAGATAATAACAGAAAGGTCTCCAATAAAGGTGTAGTGGCACAGAAATGTAATGCCTTCACTCTGGAAAAATGATCACAACTCAAGACCAGATTGAGTAATTTATCCATCTAGCAAGATTCTGTCTCAAAATAAAAATCAATCAATCAATCAATCAATATTGTTGTCCTCATAGTAGTTATTCAGAGGACAAGATACAGATATGATATCTTGTCTAAACAATATTAGTACAAACCTTTCTTCTCAATGAACTAAGAGAAAGTAGCTATATATCTATCCTAACTTTCTTGTGTATACATACATATTTTTTCATACCAAAATGGTCCTTTAGAGATTATGGGGCCAAAGAGGAAAGTGATTGATGATGTAGAGTGTTCCTAAGGAGAGTCACATGGAGAGAAAATATTCTCTCAGGCTCTCACAGAGAGCACATTGGCCAAGCAATGGCCGTGACTCATCCACATGGCTGACACTGACAAAGGTTCTACAATCTGAGGTACAGGATCTCAGGATAAATCCTGAGGGGATTTCACTGACCTTATCAGACCCAAAAGCTACAACTCTTGTTGCATAGGTCCTGCTTTACTTTGGTCTTAACCATCCAGCAGAAAAGTATAAAAATGAAATATAAGAAGTAAAGCCATGCTGTTATGTTGAGCTGTAGGGGACTCAGGTCAACAATTTCTGACATTGCCAGTCAAGCAGAAAACCTATTATGGGCTACTGGACTCTTTTAGAATATTTTGCTGAATTAACACACATATAATATTTAAATAACGGAACTTAACAAAAAAAGGGGATACAGATGAATGTCCATTTTGTATCTGTGTATTCAAAGTGGGTAGGATAGATATATAGTTACATTCTCTTAATGAATAGAGGGATTTGTTCTAATGGTGTTTGTAAATAGGATATCATGTCTGCATCTTGTACAGCAATTAACCACTAAGAAGAATGTATGCAGTGTGTTATTATTGAAACTGTCCTAGCAATTTGATTTGAAACTGTTTCATTGCTATTTGTTTATCAATAAAATTATGGGAAAAAAAGATATCATGTCTGCATCTTGTATTATGGATAACTACTACAAAGACAACAAAATGCAATGTAGTACTTATTGTAACTGTCCTACTAACCTGTTTTGAAACTGTCTCATTGCTACTTCTTTCTCAATAAAATTATTATTTTTTTTTAAAAATGGTCCTTTATTTATACTTTGGCAAAGTTATTAACACGTGAAAAAAAGGTTGCCTAGCAACTAATAGCTGACCTTAAGCAAACAGGAGTTTATCTCAGGACTGAGGTAACTTGTTTGTTTAGGCACTGAGGCCTAGTCCCACCTGGACACATTAGATTAATTTCTTAGGTACAGTGCCTCCCAACATATGCCCCTTTTTCGTCTTGCTTTGCCAGTGATGGGTGTTCCATTGCAGTTAGAGAAGTTGTATTTGGAGAAGTCTTTAAAGTACCTTTTCATACTGGAAGCCAGTCCAAAGATTATAGGTACTGGAATTCAGCATAATAACCCAATATAGACCAACAGTCCATAATAGCAGTGAGTTATCAGCACAACTAGCAATTGTCAGAAGTTGATGATCTTAGAGCAGTTTAAAAATGGTGCTGAGGGTGTAGTTCAGTGACACAGCATTTGCCTAGCATGAGTGCAATACTCTCTCTCTCTATATATATACATATGTGTGTGTGTGTGTATACACTTATATACATATATGTAACACATGCATATGTGTTTACATAGACATACCTATACCTACACTCAGTTACCTTCAGTAATGTTGTTTGTGTATATCTAAATATTTGGTTAATGTTATATACCTTTTAATTATAAAACTTCCTTTGCCTTATTTTACAATGTAAGTATTCTTATAATTATTATTCTCACGTTTTATTTGTCCAGAAATAGTTATATTTTGAAGAAGCTGTTCATTGAGGAAAGAATTCTGAGTTTATATTTTTTCCTTCAGTACTTTAAAGTTATTCCATTGCTTCATAGCTGACATTTCTGAAAAAAAGTCTATTGCCACTTTTCTATCTTTGTTCTTTTGTGTGTAACATCTTTTTTCCTTTGATTTCCTGCAAATTTTTCTTTTTTTTTGATTTTTAATTTTTTTTTTTTTAATTTTAGGGAAGGGTCTATAGGGTGTTCAGGGTCTTACTACTAGATTGGACTCATAGTGATTCTCCTGTTTACAGCCTCCCAAGAGCTGGGATTACAGGCGTGCCCCACCACGCCCAGTCTCAATTGCTGTTTTAGTGTGCCCCCAGGGCGGGGCCAGCTTGCAGGAGCTTTAATCTGCTGAGCTGTTTGGCCGGCCTGGTTTTTAATTTTGAGTATAGTTTGTATGTGAGTTATTTGAGTTATTTATTTTTCTTGGTATTCTCTGAGCTTTATGCAGTTGGGGTCATCTTTATTCCAATTTCAGGATTTTCTTAGTCATTATTTCTTCAGTTATTTCTGTTCCCTATTGGTTTTTCCTTACAACATTCCAATTATGTATACATTAGACTCTTTTGCTGTGCTATAACTTAGCCATTCTGTTGTACCATTCTCCTCCCCATTCTTTCCCAGTTTGAGTAATTTCTATTGACTTCTCTTCAAATTTGTCCATTTATTCCTCAACATGAGTCTATTAATGAGCCTATCAAAGACATTTTTCACCTATACTCCTGTCTTTTTTCATTTCCTCCATTTCATTTGGATCACTTTGCTTACAGCTTTTATTTCTCTGCTGAACTTCTTTGTATGCATGCAATTTGTCCACACTTTCCTTTAAGGGCTCTGATGTAATTGTAGTTATGTCAAATTCCTAGTCTAATCATTTCAGTATCCATTATATCTGACTCTGGAGCTGTTAATTGCTTTTACTCTTGACATTGTAGTTTGTTTTCCCTTTACCCTTTTTATATATTTTTATTTGGCTCAAAACATGAGACATTGTTGAATGTTAGAAACTGAGTTAAACAATACGAATGCTTTCAACGGAAACATTTTTCTCACCAACTTCATGGTTTTTGTTCTTTTTGACAGGGTATCACTCTGTAATGTAGGTTGGCCTCAAACTCATTCCTGCATCAACTTCCTGAGTGCTGGGATTGCAGGCATGCACAGCCATGCCTAACTTCCCACCAACTTTACATATAATTTTCATTTTTTAAAAAATATGAAGCTCTGTGGCATTAGGACTTGTTTCCTGCACTACAGGGTTTTTTTTTTTTTTTTCCATCAAGGTCTTACTTTTTTATTAGGCTGGTCTTGAACTACATAGCCTAGGTCTGTCCTTGAACTTGCAGGGATCCTCCTGCCTCAGCCCCCTGAGTGCTGAGCTTAGGGTGTCCATAGCCTTCAGATGTCCCTGCACTACTAACTCCCCAGTACTCTTGAGGCATGTGCTAGCCATATTCTCTTCTGTGGGAAGTCCTTGTGGCAGCTTCAGGGGCTGGACTCTTATGAGATGCTTAACCACTCTCAGTTTTGCATTTACTGAAGGGATATCCTTATGAACTCGAGGAGTGTGTGCTTTTTCTAACCCAAGCATTTGGATTACATCTTTTTCCCAACATGGTCGTCTTATTGTACTTTTTATTCTGGCAACAACATGCAGCTTGTGAGGGCGCGGTGGATCCCCACCATACTTCTCATGATCTTCAGGTGAAGGCTGAAACACTTTATCTGGAATTCTTGATTTTGTAACTTTGTGATGAATCCAATCTGTACCCACGAGAGATTCCACACGTTTTGTGACAGTCTGCAGCCCACCTGGGGGCCTGTGAACCACTGAGTGCAACATCTCTGCCATAGTGCTGTAATTATTTGTCTTCAGAGGTTGTAGGAAGCAGACAGATCTACTGGTGAGGTGCTCTGGAAATAGGCAGGTTCTCCCCCTTCTCTGATGTAGCGCCCACTAAACGTCCAGTCTGAATTTCCAAACAATACTAATGCTTTTACTTGAGCTTCACTCTTCTTTTTTGATAGGTCTTGAATCAATCTATTCAGAAATTAAACAGTGTTTTCTTCTTGGTATAAAATTCTCCATAGTTTCCAAATTTCTCTAGTATTTCTTTGCTTTTGGAGTGGAGGTTGTGTTCGTGAAGGGACTTTTCTCTATATACTTGGTTACACTCCTGTTTGGGCAGTCTTTGTCAAACTTGTATCTTCAGAAATTTCCTTCTACGCCATCACTTCTTCTGAAGCAGAGTGCTGTTGTAGCTCACTTGGTATTTGCTTTCATAGTCGAGAAACAAATCAGAGGGGGTGCCAGGGATTTCTAGGGCTGTTTCAGCTTCAGTTATAATCATTTATTTTGTTTTTGTTTGAATAAATAGTCTTCTCAGTAACTCTGATTCTTTTCCAGTTATAAGGAAGTCTTTCAGTTTTCTAGGGTACTATAGAAAATTAATCATCACATTAATCAAACATGATTGGGCTAGGACATTTTCCTACCCTCTACTCAATTATAGAGGGACAGAAGATGAGTGGACTTTTGCAAAATTTTCTCTTTATTTTTCATAAAAAATAATTCTTATTTTTAAAAGTCTACACATTCATTATTTTTAATATATTAAAATGTGTTCTTGATTTTTTGAAATTATATGTAGCTTCTTTTAACTTGTTAGAGACCTAGAGGTTGAATTTGTTAGTTTGTCCCTTATAAATTTTTGCATATATTTTCTTCGGGAGCTGTGGGCTTCTACCAACCTAGTTTTACTTTAATCCCTTCTATGATCTACATCTTAACTCGATAGTCTGTAAGTTATACCTCTGGCCTCTGAGTTAAGACAACTATCTCTTAATTTTGGCATTAAAAATGGCATGTATCTACAATATTGTAAATCATGTATTTACAATACACCAGTCAGATTTCAGTCCATAGGTTTATTTCTTTTTCTGGAACATTCCTCTTAGTTCTTGGGAGCACCATCAGTACCATATATTATATGCAGGATTGAGGTTTTCTTTTTTTGTACCATGAGGACATTTCAGAATATTTGATTCATCAAAGGTTATAACTGCTGTCTTGGTCTGTTTTCTTTACTGTAACATAAAGCCTGAGATTGTCATTTCTTTTAAAGAAAAGACATTTACTTAGGCTCACAGTGCTGGAGACTGGAACATTAAAGATTTGACTCTGGCAACTTCTCAGATCCGGGTGAGTATTTGTGTTGCATTATGACAGAACAGATGGTGTGTGCAATAGTCCTGAGGAGAGGGCAGGAACACATGAGCTGATCTGTTTTATAACAATCTGCTTTTATGTTTGTTTTTTATTTTATTATTCTTTTTGAGACAGGGTCTTATGCATCCAGGCTGGCCTTGAACTCACTATGTAGTCCAGTTTGGTTTTGAACTTGTGATTCTCTTGCCTCAGTCTCATCAGTGCTGGGATAAAAATTGGCTCTTGTGAGAATTAAGCCATTTTTGTAAGAACTAATCCAGTTTTGTAAGGAAGACAGGAATCCCTCCTAAGGGCTCTACTTTCCAATGCTTTCACATTACAGCTGAATTTTAATAGGAATCTTGGTTGGGACAAAACAGATCCAGACTATAGCATTTTTGTGTGTGCTTTTACAATACACCATTCAGATTTCAGTCCATAGGTTTATTTCTTCTTCTGGAACATTCCTCTTAGTTCTTGGGAGCACCATCAGTACCATACATTATATGCAGAATTGAGGTTTTCTTTTTTGTACTATGAAGACATCTCAGAGTATTTGAGGATTCAGTCTCTGGTGAATTGAGTCCAAGACAGAAACATTATGGTGGAAGGGCATGGCAGAGGAAGGGGGTTCTTGACAGCCAGAAAGTAGCGAGAAAAAATAGGAGACAGAAAAGAAGCTCTACTGCACAAAGGCGCACCCCACTGACACAGCACTTCTGAGCAGCCTACACCTCCTTCCCACCAGAGCATGGAGGCATGGACTCAGCGGTGCACGAATCCACTCATGACTGTAGCTCCCACACGGTGTGCTCAGTTCCCAAAAGCCCCATTTGTGAATACACAGAATGGGTAAGGGAACATTGCAGACATTCATAACTATTAAAAGTTATGCCTTTGGATAAATATAAGGACTGTTCTGAACTATTAGCTACTTTATGTGGCATGCAGTGAGCATGTACTCAAATCTTTGTAACCCTGTGTTAGAATATACTTGTAGGATGCATTTCTAAGAGTGTAGTTGCTTAGTCAAAGGCAATAAAAGCCTTCAAGGCCCAATAAATGCCTTGAAGTCGTAGGTGTCTGATATTTTGTCCTGGTGATGGGAAAGTATCTTTTTTGCCCATAATTTTATTGATAAGTTTTTATTGATAAAGTTTTGGTACTTTTTCAGACTAAGTTAAATGTTAGTAGAAAATAGGAATATGTGTCTAGTTTACTAATATTTGTTTAAAATTGTGTCATGATATTTCCAATATATATTCCATTTGGTGACAGTAAAATTTTACCTTTATGGACCATTTTCTCAGAAGATAGATTGTACAAAATGCTGAGTATCTAGTCCTATTCTTGACTGTGCCATGTGCTTGTTTTTCACTTTGGATAAGTTAGTTGGCCTTCTTGGTTCTAGCTAAAGAAAAGGGATCATTAAATTTTACTCCAAGAATGGGAAGATGAACCTAACAAGTGGTGCTTTAGAATCTTTTCTTCTACCTCAAGTAAACAGCTATTTGTTTGTTTATTTATTTATTATCATACATACTAAGAAATGTATCTTTTGGGAGGGAATGTTCTGCTCTTAAAAGTAGCATAGAATTTTTCTGATTCACTAGTCCTTGTTATGGCTTTGATATAAAATGTTCCCCCAGAGCCTCTTGTGTTAGGAAGGTGGTTGATTTATAGGCTGTTGTACTCACCAGTGGATTCATGCATCAATGAGCTCAGTAGCTAAACATTCTTTTAGGCAGTGGGACTGGGTTTGAGGAAGATCCCTGGGGGTGGAGCCTTTAGAACGCATTCCTATTCCTGGGTCTTCCTGCCTGTCTCTGCTTCTGGCTGGAGGAGTTGTGCAGCATTCTTCTGTCATGCCTCTTGGCCATCCTGTTTCTACCCTGAAGCCAGCTACTGTGGAATGAGTCCTCTGAAATGGGGGCCCAATAAACACCTTGAAGTTGTAGGTGTCTGATATTTTGTCCTGGTGATGGGAAAGTATCTTTTTTGCCCATAATTTTATTGATAAACAAATAGCAATGAGACAGTTTCAAATCAAATTGGTAGGACAGTTTCAATAATAACACATTGCATACGTTCTTCCTAGTGGTTAATTGCTGTACAAGATGTGGACATGATATCCTATTTACAAACACCATTAGAACAAATCACTCTACTCATTAATAGAATGTATCTATATATCTATCCTAACCACTTTGAATACACAGATACGAAATGGACATTCATCTGTATACCCTTTTTTTTTTTTTTGTTAAGTTCCATTAGTTGAATATTATAGGTGTGTAAACTCAGCAAGATATTCCAAAAGAGTCTAGTAGCCCATAATAGTATTGGGTCTTCTGCTTGACTGGCAATGTCAGAAATTGTTGGCCTGAGTCCCCTGCAGCTCAACATAACAGCATGGCTTTACTTCTTATATTTCATTTTTATACTTTTCTGCTGGATGGTTAAGACCAAGGTAAAGCAAGACCTATGGAACAAGAGTTGTAGCTTTTGGGTCTGATAAGGTCAGTGAAATCCCCTCAGGATTTATCCGGAGATCCTGTACCTCAGACTGTAGAACTTTTGTCAGTGTCAGCCGTGTGGATGAGTCACGGCCAATGGGAAAGTATCTATTACAGCTAGATGGCTAAAAAGTTTACTCTAAGTCTTTAAAATGTTATGATTTATTATTTTATGCATTTTTCTGAACTTTCAGATTTTATAGTGCTTGAGCTCCAGCTGTAGTTCCTAATTTCTTTTTATTCTACATTCAAAATAAAAATAAACTGTGTTATTTGCACAAAAAGAAACAAGAGAGGTATTTCGTCTTTTAATCTCCGAGCTTTACTCATCTTTTAAATTGAGACTGTTGGTCTCAACTACTTTATTTTGTCAGAGGAAGTTTAAAAATATTTCATTCATGTTATATGTATATTCTTCATAGTAAGAATGATGTTAAATGTAAAAGACCAGTTCTTATATCCTTTTTTCCCCCTTTGGAGTATATATCCATATGCCATGTAGTGGTCATTTCCTATAGGATGTTTTCATCTTCTGTATTATTTTCTAAGCACCATCATGTTCTCCTGTGGTTGGGACTGGCACCATAGTCACATTTACTTTGTCTAAACAATACTTCCACTGAAATAAGACTTTTTACATTTCTGTGGATCACTCTAATTAATTTAGGCACAGGAACAAAACCCTCAGTTTAAATCTCCTGGTCAGATTTTCTCAAAATAGCTTCTGAGGCCAACTGACTCACTCTCCCGTGTGCCTGATGATCTCTTCCAGAATTTTTGAAATTCACCCCATTTGCATTTATGTTAGGAACTTCTATGTGTCTACAAGTTCCCTTTTCCCACTGCTAAGATATAACCTTCCTCTCTGGGAACTTTTCTTCTACCAACTAGAGATAATTTATTTATTTTCTTTTTTTTTTTTTGGCAGGAAAAGTATTTGTACTTCGCCTATAGTGAGAAAACAATGAAATTTTATTGATACAGCCTCTAACAAGGCTCAGCTTGAAATAATTTTGCCTACACTGAGTTGAAATTTGAACATACTGTCTAAAATGAGATTCACCTGCAAATACACACAATAAATATGGTAGGGGATGCACATTGAGACACATGCCCCTCCCCACAAAG